ATTTGGATTATATGTTTTTTAATTATTTTAATGAGCAAGAGCAATAATATTTAGAAATATGCTGATTTTTTTCAGGGTCCAGACGGATCATCATCGTCCGGACCATGTGTTAGTCCAACTGTAAGTCCGATATCGAATCAAGTCACACAAATTAAGATCGGTTTAAATTTTGTTTGTTAATGATTTTTTTTTTTTTTTAATTTGTAGATGATTCGATTTTTCATGAGCAATAACATAGAAGTTAAAGGATTGAGAATCCAAAACAGTCCACAATTTCACATGAAATTTGACGGATGTCAAGGAGTTCTAATCAACGACATCCAAATTTCGTCACCAAAACTAAGTCCAAACACAGATGGTATTCATCTTGGAAACACCAAATCAGTTGGTATTTACAATACTGTCGTTAGCAATGGTACGTTTTGTTTTAATTGAACGTGACAACAAATCCTATGATGGTAACAATATTAACGTGTCATTGTAATTTGGTTACGAAAATAATTAATTGGGAATGTAAACAGGGGACGATTGCATTTCGATTGGAACTGGTTGCTCAGATGTTGACATTCAAGGTGTCACTTGTGGGCCTAGTCACGGGATCAGGTTACTACTCTCTTTTAATTTCCTCATCTTTTAATTCATTTTTTATATATATATATATTTAAACGTATGGTTTAATTTAATTTCATGATTTGATTCCATTACAAAGTTTTTTTTTTTCGCATGGATCACGGATATTAGCTGAATGATCGAACTTTGGAACTAATTGACAAAAATTATTGAACTTTGGAGTGAGAATTTAATAAAGTTTCTCATAGTCATATACACCATACGTTTTAGAATATATATATATATATTTCATTTTCAGATTTGATTAACAAATGTCACACTTCTTCATTTTATAATAAGATGTTTTACTAATTTATTTTTGTTTCATCTTATTAGGTTTTTCATTTTACCATGCAATATTAATTATTAAGTTATTTACGTCTACAATATCATATTTGTATTAACCAAAAAATAATAAAATGATTTATATTATTTTTAAAAATTTCGACCCAAACACATAAATATTATTTTTGATAATTTTCTCTACTATTTTTCTAATTTGATTAGTATTTTACTTGTATAATTTGGGTC